CTGCCCCCCCTCCCCCCCCCCCCCCCCCCCAAAATGCCCCGGGAGCCATCCCTATGATGCCGCTCCCCCAGCAGCAGGGCTGTGTGAGGATGGGATGGTACGGTACAACCCCCCACCCGTTTCCCTAGGGTCCCCCTTTTCTAGGACCCCCCCACCCCACAGGGACTGCAGCCCAAAAGCACCTTACCTCCATGAGAAGGGCCCCGATGGAGGACTTTCCCATGCCTGACTGTTGCCCATTGACCGGTAAGCTTCCAGATGGCAATTGCGACCTGCTTCTCCAGGGAAATGGCAAGCCACAGGTGGGTGTTGAGTTGTCAGAGGGCAGGGGTGAGCCAGGTACACAGCTCCAAAGGGTGGCCTTCCTCATGCGAAAGTTTTGGAGCCACTGCTGGTCATCCCACTCCTCCATGACCAGCCAGTCCCACCAGTTAGAATCGGTATCCAGCCTCCAAAACTCTCCACTGTGGAGTATGGTTGCAAAGGTTTTGGTTCCATGCTCAAGGAAAGAGTCTCTAGAATGAATTTGGTGTTGAGCTCGTGGAGGGCCATGAAGGCAGCCTGCACAAACTGCTGCAGCATGGCAGAGTGGGGCCATTGTATGCTCAGAGGAAGCTCCAGCTCCATGGCAAAAAGAAAAATGTGGTGGCATCCAAAAGCTGGGCAACTAGAGCATGCGCTGCTAACGCTTTGCTGTCCTTTGGAGGGTAGGCAAGCATGTAGCAGAAGCAGAGAAACAGCTTCTCCAGGGGGGTCCCTTTAACCACGTCTCAACTAGATTTAGGCAACAGCATTCGGAATTACCTTGTGACTTAATGCCCTGCCTGAACCAGATGGCCTTACATGTGACAAAGCATCCAATCAATGTGGACGCTATCTTTCGAAAAAGCAGAACGCTTTTTCGATGTGCTTTTGCTGCGTAGACGCTCTCTTTTGAAAGAAGTTTTTCTGGAAGATCTCTTCCAGAAAAGCTGCTTTCGAAAGAAGCTTGCAGTCTAGACGTAGCCCCACTCAGGCAGCGGCCGGACAACCAGCACAGGCTGCCCCAGGGATGGAGCTGGGTCCCATACTAAGAAGGCAGGATAAGGGACCTGCCAAAGGTAGGGGCGTGGAGTGGGATCTCCAGTGAACTCAGGGATAGGGTGATAGAACAGGGTGGTGGGCCCAATCCCACTCAGGAAGCAGCTAGACAGCCAACACAGGTTGCCCCAGGGATGGATCTAGCTCCTGCATTAGGAAAGCAGAATAAGGGACCCCCTGAAGGTGGGGTGGGTTCTTGAGTGGGATAGGGCATTTACCTGGGGAAAATAGGGTTGTGGGCTTGAGTCCCACCCTGGGAGTGGCCAGACAGCTGCCCCATGGGTGGAGTTAAGGCAGGATTATTCTTGCCCTGGCCTGTACCACTCCATGTACAGAAGTGGCTCCATGTCCTTCCCTCATCTACAGGCATCAACCCCCACCTTTACTGGCCACTGTTCTCCATTACTGATCATTGGAAGTTGCAGGAATGGTGTCTTCAGGCAAGGATAGCATGTGGAGACCCCCTGCTCTGATGTCTTCAGGGGCTGCACGGACATGCCAGTCACCCTCAGGAGCACAATTACCACAGGGTTGTGGGCTTGTATCACAGGGATAATTACTCCAGACATGACAGGTTAGGCAATTTTGAACTCACTGCTCAAATAATTAAATTTAAGCATAAGGCAGAAATGAAAGTTATGCACAGACCAGTCAAACACTAAAAATAACCCACTCTGCAAGCAGTAAAAGATGCCTCTAGTGTAGGCCATGCAACAATGAAAGGGAAAACGACTGATGGAGCCACCACAGCGATTGAAAGTCCAACAAAAGCAAGTGACTGTCTGAACAGAGGTGATGGGGAGGAATACATGTAGGATGATCAGTGAAACGCTGCTGAGCCTGGTCTTGCACACTTTGGATACGTCTACACTGCACACTTATTTTGGAATAAGCTATTCCGGAAGAAATACTACGGGGAAGTCTCAAAATTAGTCCGAAGCAGGCTCCCCTAATGTGGATGTGCCACCTCAATTTAGAGCCTCAGGAAGCACGAGGGAGTTATTACTTTGAATGCCCTGGGGGGTGGAGCTATTTTGAAATAGCAGCAGTGGAACTTCCACACTACAGCTATTTCGAAATAGCAGTTTTGGAAGAGGCATTATTCCTCGTGGAAAGAGGTTTACAGAAGTCGGAATAAACCATCCATTATTTCAAATTTATTTTGAAATAACGGAATTGCTGCGTAGACGCTTACATTCTTATTTCAGAATAATTGCTGTTATTGCAAAATAACGCTGCTGTGTAGCTGCACCCTTCTAGAGCACTTCTATGGGAATTGTCTAATGAATTAGCAGCTGGCTCTTTTCCCCATAGCTTTGGATGGCAAACTTGGTTAAGAGATACTGCAGCTAAGCACTTGCATGTGCCCTTGGTGACCTAATGGCCTCCTAACAGAGATTGTGGGCTCACCATAGTTCAAGTGCTTTTAGGAGAGACATGTTCCCTGCAGACAAATTTGCTTTCTCAGGGCAGAGCTTTTCCATTTAAAGCCTTTGCAAATATCTTAAGTCCCAAACAGTTAATATAAAGCCTTGCTTCTCTTGCTGACACTTTTGCATATTGATGAACTTTTAAGCAAAGATGTATAACTAAGTTTTGCCTAATTAAAGAAAGGGAAGCATAATTAGCAGTGGACAATGAAGCTCTGTGGGCTAGACAAGCATAATGGCCGGGTTTGCCTTCCTTGAATGAAAAATGACATAAAATAAAACAGGGGTGGGGAACCTAAGATCCAGGGGCCAGATGCGGCTTCCCCCTTTCCCCAGCTTGCCTGGATCCGGCCCTTGGGGCTCCCCCCAGCATTGGGGAGTCTGCACTGACACTCCAGCCCCCTCCACTGCCCCCTGTTGGGGCTGGAACACACAGAATCTTCTAGTCTGAGCCTCCCTAGGTTCTGGTGTGAATGTATGGAATGTCTTTCACACATACAGGGGAATGTAGGGTGTCTCTCTCCTCAGTTTGGGGCATCATCAGCGAGGGGTTTTTTGTTTGTTTTTTGCTTCACACTTGTATGTGGCCCCCAACTGATTTGTTTGTGGCTCAGCAGCCGTCACACTTGTATGTGTCCCCCAACTGATTTGTTTGTGGCTCAGCAGCCCCCGATCCAAAAAAAGTTCCCCACTCCTGGAAGAAAGGTATATAAAGATGGATAAAATTGCAAGAGCTGGCAAAATTTATCACAAGTCTAGTGACATTTGGTGTTTTTATCAGCTTTTGAAAGCTAGTGATTCCATAAGAATTTCAACTGTCTTTAAAAATAAACTTAAGATCCCTCATGATTATG